TCTCATATATTATCCACATATTATACATGTACATATATAACATATATATGCTTTGCAAATAATTTTTCCTTTTCTTTTTTTTCTAGTTTATTTGCTTTGGAAAAGCGAGTGAGCGCACAAGCAGAGGAGGGGCAAAGAGAGAGAGAGAATCTCAAGCAGACTCTGCTGACAGAGCCTGATGCAGAGCTCGATTTCACAAACCATGAGATCATGACTTGGGCTGAAACCAAGAATCAAATGCTTAACCAACTGAGCCACCCAGGAGCCCCACAAATAAATTTTTCTGATACGTGGCTTGCCATTGTCTTAATACTCTCTCTGGAAGAACAGAAGATCTTAATTTTGAGGTCCAATTTTTTATATAGATCACATACAGATTTAGAAATGTTTGCCTAACCAAGGTCACAAAAATCCACTTGTTTCCTTCTGGAAGTTTTATGGTTTTAAGTTTAAAACTAAAGTTCATTTTTAATTTTTTATATACTTTAAGTTGGTTCCATGCCCAGAGCAGAGCCCAATGTGGGGCCTGAACCCACGATCCTGAGATCAAGACCTGAGCTGAGACAAAGGGTTGAATGCCCAACTGACTGAGCCAACCAGGCAACCCCATGGTTCATCTTAAATTAGTATTTGTGAGGTTTTTTTCATTATTTTTGTCCAATGTTGTTTTTGTGTGTGTTTTGTTTCTTTTTTTGTTTGTTTTTTTTTTTTTTTTTACAAATAGTTTATTGTCAAATTGGTTTCCACATTAAATTAGTATTTGTATATGGTACAAGGCAGAGGCCAAAGTTCACATTATTTTAGGGGCACTTGGCTGGCTCAGTCGGTGGAGCGTGCAATTCCTGACCTCAGGGTTGAGTCCCATGTTGGGTGTGGATTATATGATAAAATCTTTAAAAATATATCTAACAACCTCAGCACCATTTGTTGAATGGACTGTCCTTTCTCCATGACTTGCTTTTGCATTTCTGTGAAGTATCAGTTATCCGCATATGTGTGGGTCTGTTTCTGGACCCTATTCTGCTCCTCTGATCTCATTTATGTGGGTGCTGTCTTAAATAACTGTGGGTTTATAAGAAGACGTGAGAGAAGGTGGTTTTAGCTCTTGACCTTACTTCATCTTTTGCAAAGATATTTTGCTATTCTTGACCAGGTCCTTCGCCGTCCATGTGAACTGCAGAATCAGAGTATCAATTTCTACCAAAAAAAACCTACTAGGATTTTAAATAGGGATACAATGAAGATATATACAACAATTTGGGGAAAAATGACATTTTGATAATTATGATTCTTCTGAGCTGTGAATATGATCACTCATTTAAATCTTAATTTCTCTCGGCAATGTTTTATAGCTTTTAGGACCTATCTTTTGACATTAAAAATGCACTTGTTGGGGCGTGGGCCTCTGAGTTTCCTGAATCTATAGGTTTAAGTTTTTCACCAAATTTGGTAAGTTTCTAGCCAATATTTCTTCAAATACACACTTTCCCCAGCATCAGGCTTTCTTCTCTCTTCCCGGGATTCTGAGGGCACAAATGTTGGGGCCTGTATTATTGTCCTGTGGGTCTCTGAAGCTCTGCTTGTGGGGCTGCTTCCTGGTCTCCCAACCTTTTTCTGTTCTTCAGATTAAATTCTCTTGGTTTAGCTCCAAGGTCGCTCTTTCCTCTGTTACACTAAAGACTATTCAGGGAGTTAATTTTGGTAACTGTGTATTTCAGTTCTAAAACGTCCACTTCGTTCTTTCTTTTATAGATATATATGTATCTTCTATTTCTTTGCTGTGATTTGGGTTTTTTCACTGGCTACGAGAATGTTGCTGATTATTGGCTAGAGCACTTTTGTAATAGTTGCTTTAATGTCTTTGTCAGATAATCTGAACGTCTGTGATCTCTCGGTGCTGGCATCTCCTGATGGTCTTTTTTCTGAGATATGAGATTTCCCCCCATCACCTGGTATGCCAGGTAACTCTGGAGTGCTTCCTTTACATTTGAACATCGTCACAAAACTGGGTCCTGTTTAAATCCTATGGAAAATAATGGGTTTTTCTTTCAGCAGGCAGTCAACATGGCTGGGTTGCAGGCAAAGGTTCATTTTTTAAAATTCTGGCATAACTGACATAAAACATGTTTCACGTGTAGAAGATCAGCAAATGTTTTGACAGCTGAACAGACCCTGGAATCCTAGCCTTCAGACGACAGTCAGGAATATCAGTTCAACTTTCAAAATCTTTGCAGTGCTTTTTGAACCTACTGCACGTGAATGCCTCCCAGTTGCCGGTCTGGGATTTGGGCGGTGATCTCTTTATTAGCTCAGGTGGAGTCTTTGGTCTGCTGAAAAGGATCAGAGTCATACATATGTACAGCTTGGGAGTGGACCCAGTTCATAAACAATTTACGAAGTCACTTTCTGAATTCCTTCCTCTCTGTGATCTCTTTGGTACTTTCAGGTTCCTTCTATTTCTGGTACTCTGGCCAGAAGACTACTTTTGCCACGGTGTTTATGTCCGGGCCAAGTAAATGGAGGGCAGAGAGAAAAATGGGAGTGGAGATTGGCTCTCCCCTCTTTGGAAAAAGACCTGTAGTTGATGCCGTGACCATCACGGGATTGCTTGGGGGAGGGTTGTAAGGAACACAAAAAAGGGAAAAAGCAACAGAGGCTTTCTCCACTCTCTTGGGTATATTAGGAGTCACCCTTCTGCTCCTTGAGCCAGACCAAGGGGGCCTGTGGTCCCGTCTGCACCCCAAGGCTCACTTCTAGGTTTCGAATGTGCTAGAGTTCAGGCTGGCAGATACCAGATGGGGGAAAAGGTGGGACTTGCCAGTGGTTCAGTGGTGCTTCAAAATCTCACCTTGCCTAATCCACCTGTTTCCTTTCAGAGTCCATGGCTGTTCCATGCACCGACATCTGTATTTAGTGAAACGGCCACCTCATTGGGAACCAGCCCAACCAGTGCTTTTAGTTTGTTACCGTGTTTTAGTATCTCTACACCCGGCGTGGGACTCAAACTCACGGCCCTGAGACCAAGATCCGCACACTGCTCCGCCAGCCAGGCGCCCTCAACTAGTGCAGGAAAGAGGGATGAGACATTTGGCCTTTCTTCCCACATTATCATAAATTTCAACTGCAGTACTAGGCACACAGTTTCCTTGTGTTTTAAAGAGACATACCACTAACTTCTAGGATATTGTCATTACAACGTGGTTTTTTACTAAGCAGCACAGTAAAGAAGCAGTAAATAAATATGGGGATCTGGCTTCCAGGTCTGTTATCAGGGCACAGGAAGGAAAGGACCTCTTCCTTCCTGTTCTTGGACAATGGATTTCACACGTCGCTCATTTTTGGCTAGTTTCAGAAAACTGTGAAGACCGTGCCCGTCATATGGTTGTTAACGTTAGCTATTTCTAAGGTCGCAGGTCAACTATAAGATGCTGTCAATCCTGCCTCTAATCAGTGTCTCTAAGCTGTGGCTGAGGGAAGACTTTATATTAAGACAAAAAGGTGGCCGGCTAGGTGACCCCGAAGGGAGAAACCAACCTTTGACGGCAGAGAACGCGGTGGCCCGCGAGCAGTGGTTAATGAAGCACGTGCTCCAAGGAGAGTGGGCCTTTACAAGAGAAAGACAAAATGGAGTGATCTGATCTGCTAACTGCACCCAGACTCTCATGACTATAGTAGCTTCACCTGGCTTATCTTGGCATTAGAGGTGTTTGATCGAATACATCACAAACAAGGTGCTGAAAATTAGTCTGTGGAAGGGTGATTAGTGTCTAGAAATACTTCATGATGACAAAAAAAAAAAAATCAAAGTACACAGCACTGCAATTTTCAGGATATATGTTGTTTGCTGTTTTGTTATTTATGGAGTCTTTAAGAAATGCAAGACGTTGGGGCACCTGGGTGGCTCAGTAGGTTAAGCATCAGACTTGGGCTCAGGTCAGGATCTTGGTGTTCCTGAGTTCAAGCCCCATGAAGCCTGCTCCGGATTCTGTGTCTCCCTCTTTCTATACCCCTCCCCTGCTCACACTCTGTCTCCTTCTCTCTCTCCCTCAAAATAAAGAAACATTAAAAAAAAAATCTAAAAAGAAATGCAAGACGTTAACCAGTTGATTCTCTTAATAACTTTATTTTGTACAGAGACAAATAAACACAAGTTTGAGATTCAAGGATTTCAGTTTCTCCCCACAGAACACGCTCTGGGCGGGCAGTCCTGTCTTGCTTCCCAACTGCCAGAAACAGCGTTTAAGAATAGACACAGCTCTCAGCAGAAAAGGCAGACTCTACCTGCAAATAATCCTGCAATTAAAGTTACAAAATAAAACTAAGGGTTGGCTATACCCTTTCCCTGAAAACTCCTCCCCTTCCTAACAGCTCCTGCCATTTATCGCACTTTTCCAATGTTCCGGGTACTATGCTGGGCACTTGGAAGAGGTGATGCCATGCAGCGCCCATTGCGTCCAGTTTCCGAAGTCTCCTTCCTGTCCGTGACCAGGGTTAGCAAGTGGCTGAGCCAAGACAGCAAACCAGGCAGGCTGCTGTGCGTGCGCCCTCTGCTCTAGGCTACAGGGACCCCAGGTCCCTGAATGCCAGTCCCTCCCTTCCAGGCTGACTCTTAGGAAGTAGTGTTAAGAAGTGGAAGGTGTAGGGGCGCCTGGGTGGCTTAGTTGGTTAAGCGTCTGACTTTTGCTTAGGTCATGATCTCACGGTTTGTGGGTTCAAGCTGCGCGTCGGGCTCTGTGCTGACTGCCAGCTCAGAGCCTGGAGCCTGTTTCAGATTCTGTGTCTCCCTCTCTCTCTGACCCTCCCCTGCTCACACTGTCTCTCTCCCTCTCTCCTAGAAATAAATAAAACATTAAAAAAAAAAAAAAAAAGTAGAAGGTGTAAATGAGAAACAAAAGATCCAAAAAATCCTCCAGGGATCCCATTCATCCTTGGGGAGGGAAGACCCCCAAACCCAATACCCTACTATTTGATGTTACTTTTCTTAAGAAAACCACCTTGCCATCAACCTACATCTTCACAGAAAGTCATGTAATAAAAGGTACTGACAAAAAAAAGTGACCTATAGTATCAGGCTTATTTTAGACTAAATGAATATAGTATATTCCAGTCAAGAAACCAGTAAATCTTGAAAAGTTAAAAACTCCAAGAGAAACAACATATATCCATATAATATTTTATGCACTTCTCAGAAACATGAAAAAAGTCATATGGCTAATGACAAATTCCTAACCAAAATATTTTAATGCAGAAAGCAACATGTGAACATTTAGGCAGTGAAACTTAGGTTACGATTACATAGTAAGTATCAAATAACATGGCTCTTCAGGTTTAATGGAAACCATAACATCATGACAGTCATGCTTAACATCCTGGTTAAGGGAGAGATGGACAGCGGCAGCAGGGACATCTGCAAGGCTCCACAGGTCAAATCACCGTTAGCTCTTTTGAGAAAACGTAGACGGGAAATGTGTGGCAAATACATCTGGAACACGGTGGCCGCAGCACGTCAGCAATCATGCGCGTGAAGTAACCACAGTTGTTTTCGGGCACTGAGGGCTGGATTCAAAGCAAGTATTTGGTCACCAAGCGAATGATACTGCAGACCCCTTATGTTGAAAAATACAGGTTAAATCTGGACCATTTAGGCCAAGCACGCTTGTTTCCATGATTATTTGTAGATCTGGCAGAGATGCCTCTCCACACAGCTGGGTGCTGTACACAGGAATTCCAGTCACCGTACTCGATGGCCGTGGGTCTTCAACGGCACAAGTTTTATGCTCCAAAAGAAACCTATCAATCCAGTAAAATGTGTGCAGTTCATTTTCTTTTACAGACAGATCCACTAAATTTAAGGAAGAACTGGCTTTTATTTATAGCTCATTTTCACGTTACTGACACAAACTTAACCATGGAATAATTACATACTTCCCCCAACATCAATCGGCAAAAAGTTTCCAACACAGATGCATTTCTTGTCCAATTTCCAAAAATAAATAAAGGCTCTCTACCTGAAGGCATTTACAGTCCTAGCTCTCTAAAGCAAACATTACCAAAAAAGTACAAAAAATGATCCCCCACTTCTGAAGAGCCCACTTAGTTACATATTTTCTCTCCCAACATTTTGTCAAAGTCAAAAGAGATTTACTTCCAAAGAAGGGACAATCTTCCTTCCAAACCATTTAGTCCGTTTCCATGGCAACGCTGCGGGACTCCTTGGCTACCATAAGTCGCATTAGTTGACTGTGGAATTTCTCAATCTTCTTTACGTCTTGGGCTTGGTCTGTTCTATACACCAAACACTGTCAGAAATGTCAAAAGTGAACATTAACTGCATAAAACTAGATTATCAACAACGTAGCAAATGTAGGACTGGGTACGAACCTGAGTCTTTCTCTCCTACCACTTTTGCCCTATTCCCTCCAGAGGCCATACTAAGGCAAATACACTCGTTTTTCTTTCTTTTTTTAATGTGTTTATTTTTGAGAGACAGAGACAGAGGAGGGGCAGAGAGAGAGGGAGACACAGAATCCAAAGACAGGCTCCAGGCCCTGAGCTGGCTGTCAGCACAGAGCCGGACGCGGGGCTCAAACCCACGGACCATGAGATCATGACCTGAGCCGAAGTCGGACGCTTAACTAACTGAGCCCCCCACACGCCCCAGTACATTCAAGTTTTTAAGACCCCAGCAATTACATTCGTTTAGTATCTTACAGTAGTTTAATTTTTTAAATGTTTTTATTTATTTCTGAGAGAGAGGAGAGAGAAAGCGTGAGCAGAGGAGGGTCAGAGAGAGAGGGAGACAGAATCCGAAGCAGGCTCCAGGCTCCGAGCTAGCTGTCAACACAGAGCCCGACACGGGGCTCGAACCCACAAACGGTGAGATCATGACCTGAGCCGAAGTCAGACCCTTAACCGACTGAGCCCCCCAGGCGCCCCAGTATCTTACAGTATTTTTAACTCCACTGCTGTAAATTTTAAAAAAATGAAATGAACTGTCAGAAGTCTCTCAAAAATGAGCAGTAAGTGATCCACTGAATCCTGCTGTGGGTCTGATGAGGACTCAGGCTCAGAACCAGCTGATTCCCTCTGGGATCTGGTCCGAAATAGCTGAGTTGTACTGGGGAGAGCTCAGCAGTCTCAGGATACCCTTCCCCACTGAAAATGGGAGATGGGAAGGAGGCAATAACGAGAATTTAAGAAAATATCTAGCATCCCTTGCTCACAGCCTGTCACTGCCTAAATTAAACCACAAAAATCTGTCCAACCTTGACTTTCTGAAGATATATACAATTTTTAATCCAAACCAAATTTTTCTTTGCTTTAAGTTAAATCCTTCCTTACACAGGTCCTTAAGATCTGCTGATGGTCTCTCAAAAACCATTTTTCCAGAGTCTTCAAAAATATCAAATTTCAGCTGATAGCTCTGTCCCTCATTCTGTAACACGAGATCCACTCTTCTGCGGCCCATGTTAAGGGTTCACCTGAGTCTTAAACAAAGGGAATGAAGGATCCTGCAATAATATCCATCAACTTAAGTAATCTACAGTTCAATTTGATCCCAAAACGGTCTGAATCCACTTTGCCCTCAAAAATCCTTTACTGACGTTTACCCACACATCGTGGGGACTGTGTGACACTCTCATGACAAGGCCGTGAGAGAGAATGGATATGCCTTGTCGCTCCAGTTTGACAAGAGATTTCAGATTCATAGAAAATGTTTAAATCCGTCACAGGACAAGGGAAAAATGTACAAATGGGATTATAAAAAAGTCAAATCCACATGGTGACAGCAGTAAGTGTAGCCCAAGGGTGAGTTTTAGAAGGGATTGTTGTCTATTAAAATGAATTAGCAATGGAGGTGCACAAACTTGTTTAAAGAATTATTAGAAAATGGACTTTTACTGCTGGAGTGGATTCCTGTATTTACGATCTAGGAGGATGGGTTCAATTGTGTCTACTCCCTTCCAAACATGGGCTAATTCTCAGCAGTTTTAAGGAAGAAAACAAAAGCTGTTTTTCTATTTTGATCTGGTCACAGCAACCACAAGCCTCACGCATCAAGTCTCTCCCAACGCTTCCATCCAGGAGGCCCAGGCTGTGCGGAATCACAAGCAGAGCCAGAGAGGCCTCATTTTGAGGCACAGCCTTTTGTGTTAAAGTCAGTCCTGTGTTTTTTCCTATTTTAAAAACAACGCAGCAGTTTCTCTTCAGCAGACGCACCTAGCCACTTGGTGCCCATCACAACTGAGGGGGATTCTCAGCATGAACTCCCCGAGACTCAAGCACACACGTGCGGGTCCACGAAGAGGCAGCCATGCAGCCAGGTACCCTGGCCAGGGGTGGGTGGGGGGGGGGGGGTTTACCAGCCGCACCCCGATCGGGTAAGCGTCACAGATCAGGAAACTGAGGCCCAAAAAGCCAAACTTTGGGCCCAAACCTCTCCATGGCTGAAACGCCGAGAAAGGACTAAGCTAGGATGCAAATCTCTGGATTCCAGGTCCAGCCGGCTGCACCTCCACCTACTTTCCGTTCCACGTCTTCAACGACTTCGCAGGACTTACGTGGTTCCCAGAGCACATGGTAGTCCCGGAAAGTCAGGATTTGTGCAACCTGACAACGCGACCTCGGACACAAACGTACGATGTAAAAGTGGAACACAGAACTGAAGACAAAAAGTGATTTCCAATCATTATAAAACTTTTTAAAGAACTAATCTATTAGAAACATGTTTACTGGGGCGCCCGGCTGGCTTAGTCAAGGGAGCGTGTGGCTCTTGATCTTGGTGTGAGTCTGAGCCCCACGTTGGGTGTAGAGATAACTTACAAAATAAAATCGTACAATAATAATAATAATAATAATAATAAATAAAAACAAACCTGTTCACTAGGTACTCTCCGAGTCAAGACCATGCTAGTTGCTAGAAACACATGTAACAATTTTACCTCTATTTCTTGAGACTCACAATCTACTAAAAAGACAAATATGGCGGAACAATTACAGTAAAGGACAAAGAGAGGGAGAAAGACAAGCAAGATAAAGCCAGCCTGCGAGCTGGTCTGGAAAGAGAAGCATCTGTCTTGCCTCACTGGGGCGGGGGTAGAATTCGATGCCGCAGAGACAGACACAGAGTGGACACAGAGCGCTCAGAAGCAGAGGCCTGCACCAGCCTGTGGGTCACAGGGAAGGCAGAGGGTGCAGGGGACGCGAGGCCACGGGCACAGGAGGAGCGATGGGGAGGCACTAAGGTTTCTCAGCAGGTCCTAACGAGCAAACGTGCATTTGGAAGAATCCCTCCAGACCCAGAGGGATGAGCGGCGGCAGGCACGCAGCCAGGAGACAGGCCCAGGCGGCTGGCTATGGGAGGATGCCCAGAACGGAGGGGGGTGGCAGCCTGAGTTCCCTTCTAGACGGGCTGGTTCCAAGGAGCACCAATGTGAGGATGCTCAACAGAGAGCGGGGCGGCAAGTCAGGAGAAAAATGAGCTAAACGTACAAATCTGGAGACAGACTGGGAGCAGGGAGTCCGGGCTCCGTGGCTGAATGCACTGCTTCGGAAGCGGTACGAGAAGATGGCCCAGGACAGAGTGCTGGAGAAACCAGTATTTATTAGCAAAGAGGGATGGAACAGAAAAAAGAAACAAAATAAATGGGAGCCACAGACACCAAAATAATTCCCACGAGAAGGTGGTTTTCTGGATCAGAGCAGCAGGGAGGTCCGGTAAGATGTGAGCTGATGAGACCATGAGGTCTGAAAATGGGGGGCTGTTGATGGGCTCTCCCCCAGAGTAACGCAGCGGATGGGTGTAGCTCAGGGGAGAGTAGCGCAGCGGCCAGAGCGGCCGGAGGGGGAGCAGGGGGCACGGGCCTGAGGGATTAATGGGATGCGTGCAAGTGACAAGACACAGCAGACAGGGAAGAAAAGGTGGGGACCTGTAATGCCTAGAAGCTGTGTTCAAACACCATCACTTCTCACACGCTAGTAGGAGCGTCCAGTGTGGGTCTCCACACTCCTGCTTCGGGTCTGAAAGTAATGATTAAATTATACCTGACATACTGCACCGATGAAAAAATTATTCCCCAAAGTCTATAAACGTAGCTTCTAGAATGAGGTTCTTGACTTTGGAATGAAATGCAAAATAAGCATCTTAACATAATCTGCATAAATTCTATGTAAGTAATTTCAAAATGATTAACTCCAACAGATCTGGAAGTATGCAACAAATAAAAATGTATACTTACAACTAAATCATCTGTTACTTTAATACACAAACTCCCATCAGAATGCCTATATTTGAGAACCACACGTGCCTGAAATAAAAACACATATTTAGAAACAGTGAAGTCAGAAGACATTTCTCAAAAATAACAGCCTTCAGGTACCATGAAAGCACTCTTTTAGAATAGTCAAAACACCTAAAAGCATCTTTGCTATAATCATCATTATCGAAATGAAGCAGAAAACAGTATTTTAGTTCATTCTTACTGCTATAATTCGCTTTTTAAAGACTTCTTAAGAAGCTGGATATTTTATTTGCAGCCAGTTGAAAGAGATATACTGAAAATTTCCCAAACACACCCACACTCGGAACATTCAAGAGACTCTCTAGGTGCTCTGGCATCAAGAATACACAGATCTTTCTTGACTTATGACGGTTATGTCCTAATAAACCCACTGTCAGATAAAAACATCATAAACTGAAAATATCACGGGCGCTTGGCTGGCTTAGTTGGTAGAGCATGTGACTCTTGGCTGTGAGGTCAAGCCCCACGCTGGGCGTAGAGATTATTTAAAAATAAAATCTTAAAAGATATATATATCATTAAGTCAAAAATGCATTTAACACACCTAACTCACCAAAGATTATAGCCTAGCCTACCTTAAACACACTCCGAACACTTACAGTAGGCTAATGGAAATTACATAACAGAAAGCCTATTTGATAACAAAATGCTGAAGGTCTCATGTGACTTGTCAAATACCACACTCAGAAGGAAGAACGGAATGCCTGCGCAAGTACAGAAAGGTTCTAAGTGCATCGACTGTTCATCATCTTAATGGCATGGCTGATGGAGGGCTATGGCCTGCAACCGGAGGTGGCCGGCTTCAGGACAGTGCTGTCTGCTTATCGCCGGCCCAAGAAAAGATCAAAATTCAAATCTGTAGCATGCTTTCTACTAAATTTATATTGCTTTTGGAGCACCGAAAGTCCACCCAACGTCAAGCTGGGGACCGTCCATCTACTGAAGGGGATCACAATACGCCACCTCAAAACACGTCACTGTGGCCTAAGGACTGTTGTGAGCTCAGAGCAATCGGCGCCCTCTTCTCCTTCATGCTCTGCTGGCTGAAAGTAGGACATAAGATAACCTTTGTAAAAGTGACATAACTTTCTTCTTTTAAAAGTTTATTTGAGAGAGAGCACACACATGCACGTGCAAGAGTGAGCAAGGGGGAGGGGCAGAGAGAGCGAGGGAAAGAATCCCAAGCAGGCTCTGTGTTGTCAGCATGGACCCCAAGGTGGTGCTTGAACCCATGAGCGTTGAGATCATGACCTGGGCTGAAACTGCAAGGGGGATACTTAACTAACTGCGCCCCCCCGGTGCCCTGGACATAAATGTCTAAGGGTAAAGGTGTTCCTTTCTTCCCTGCTGGGAAAAGAGGGGGTAACAAACCTTACTTACCACACGTTCCCACAACTGCCCTCCTTCCCAGAAGTCCCCAACCCCCTTTCCTCTGTCTACCCTCTTCCCTACACTTTGGCACCTTGTGAAGACAGTTTAGAGGCCTCAAGTTTAACAGTCTCAGTCTCACTGGATGTGGTGGGGTTTTTTTCCTCTTGCGAATCTGTCTTTTGTCAGTTAAGTCAGCAGGGCCCCAGTTGTAAATACTAAACCCAAGGGGGCAGAGGAGGTTTTCCCCACCCTACAACACCCACAATGCAGCCAGGGAGGAATGACAGGATGAGCAGTGGGAAAAACAGCAGACGGGGCGTCGCAGGTCCAAGTCTGCGTCTCAAGGCTCCCGGGAGGCGGATCTGGACTCAGTAGTCAGCAAAAGCACATCTTGATTACAAGGTGACACGTTTACGACAGAAAACCAGAACTCTGTCTTGGGAAGGAGTCTCCATCCACAACTCTTCCAGAATAATTCCTACACTGAGCTCATGCTACACAATTCCTTTTACTGCTCGCATGCTACAGATGGCCCCTCCCAAGAGAGTTTACCACTATGTCTACATTAATATTTAAAAAAATTTTTTTAAACTTTATTTTTGAGAGAGTTCATGAGTGGGGACAGGGCAGAGAGGGAGGGAGAGGATACCAAGCAGAGTCAAGGCTGTCGTGGGGCTTGAACTCATGAACTGAGATCATGACCTGAGCTGAGGTCACTCAACGAATGAGCCACCCAGGGCCCCTCCCCCTGTAGGAGTATTTTAAAAATGGTTACAATGTAGAAGCAGAAATCTCAAGACAATTCTGGAAACTGAATAAAAAGGGATCTAAAGCACTGTAGCCTACAGCTGCTCCCATCACGCTCTCTGCTCTCCCGGACTTGGGGGACAAAAAGGGATGCGACTCTGAGATTCGTCTCAGGGAAGGAGAAGAAGGAAGTCACCAAGATCTTATGTAAATCACAACTAGATTATCTTTAATAATTCGGATTCTATTTATTGGGCTATTTCACTCCGTTCTGCATGATTTAAATAATCAGCTCTCCAGAAACAAAACGTAACTTTAAAATGTAGGAAGCACGACCACTGTGTAATGTTTTATCTCTGTTAAAAGAACGCTTGCTGGCTTCCCGAGGAGAAATGAGAGGTGGGGTGAGAGGATCTAATTTGTAACTTAGGGGGCACCGGCGACAAGCAGGGCAGACGCACAGAGAGGCAGAAAGCAGCCCAAGTTCCTGCTCTCTCGGAAGCGGGGACTTCAACCAGCCGAAGCCCGAGGCCAGCACGGGCCGACCCCACGGAGGCGGGCTCCAGACGGCTGGGAAGCACGCAACTTCAGCAGGGGCAAGGGGCTGTACGAAGGCGTCACAAAGGCGGTTTGGAAACGCACGCAGTTCTTCTAGGGAGGAAGGCAGGCGAGCAGCTGAAGCAGCCGCGTGAATGAAGACAGTTTTGGAACGTCAGGGGTCCAGAGTGGAGTGGGGTGGACACGGTGGGAAGACTGGAGGGGGTCACGCGGTGGGCCAGGAGCCTAGACCTTCTCCGGCCATCAGCGAAAACCCACCATTTGAGCAGGGCACGGAGAGAAGCGTGGCCTGAGCAAAGGCGGGGCTGGAGAGGCACAGCGACCGGCGAGAGGCTGGCACGTGATCCACGGGAACAGCGTCTCCGGCCACGTGACGGTAAAGGCGGCGGGTGTGCGACGGGCTCCATGATGGGAGAGGACAGAGGGCTCCGTACGGCAGGTTCCAGATTCCCGAGAAAACATCTCCTCGTCTTCACGGACCGGCAGAAACAGCGCAGACTCAGGGCTTAGACAAGTGGGTCCAAACTTTGGCGTCATCCCTTGGATGCTGGGCAAACTAGCTGACATACCGCCTCCAGGGAGGGTCTTAACCGCCCTCCTCAATTACACACAGAGGGTCCTGAAGGGCTGTCACCAGCAGGGCGCCCAGGAAACTTGGTCCGGCTCCCTCTCCGTACTCCTCCCCTCATTCCTATAAAACCCCCCACTCAAACACCAGCAGGCGGCTATGGTGAGGAGGCAGAGGTTTTTAGGACACTTGGACCTTTCCAGGGGGTGAGGAGCAGAAAGGTTCCCCTTCTGGCCTCTTCTGGACTGGCTGTGTTCACAGCAATCCCCTGGAACTACCGTATTTTCATTTTCCCTACCATATTCTTAAAACGTGACTTTTGATGGAAACCTGTATGTTCTTTTCTCTGTTTTCAAACACATTGTGTAGCGTGCGGCACTCTGGACACGAGCCCTGCGCTGCACTGTTCGCACAGCGCATTACTGGAGGGAGAAACTGCGTCCCTACCTACAGGGACATCAACAAATGGAGGAGCCAGAAATCGCAACATAAAATACTCAACTCCAAAACATCTAACCCATTTCATCACCTGTGATCATCATAATCTTTTACTGTAAAGAACGGACCTTTTATTATTTTATAGCTTCTCATTACTTTTCTAGGCCTAGAAACCTAGCAAGTATTTTTAATTAGCAAAGAGCTACTTATTTTTATGTGTTATTTTACATTTGAAAAAGAGACACACACAAAGCACGAGCGGGGAGGGAGACACAGAATCCAAAGCAGGCTCTGAGCTGTCAGCATAGAGTCTGACGCTGGGGTGGGGGGTGGGGTTTGAACCCATGAAACGTGAGATCACGACCTGAGCCGAGATCAAGATCAGATGCTCAACCTACTGAGTCACTCAGGCACCCCATTATTTAAACACGTTTTGGGTATGACAAAATAAAATCTTGAGTGGAAGAAAAATCAAGACCCGAATGCTTAAATTCCCGCCACTGGGACTTCTATACCCTCGAACGATGAGCTAACCTCTGGCATCTACTTACAATTTCTGTGGCGGCCGTGAACGAGGGCCCTGAACCTGTCTGCATAGGCCAATGTTCCGGGGAACGGGTGCAAGCACTCTCCTACACTCGAGAGGACACCGACTTCCGAAAGGTTAAGAACCACGATTCTAAGGGGTGCAAATGCCTCCCAACTGGGGGGCATGTTTCAAGTGTCTCGGCGGGGACAAACGTCCCCGTTTTATCTGCAGGAGGCCGGAAGAGGGCACCCGGGCTGCAGGGGGGAGGAGCCCTGACCCGAGAGACACGTAAACCCAGCGAAGACCGCAGGGAAGTTCCAGGCCTGGCGGCGGGGAGGGCAGGCCCTAGGCTGCGTAGGGCCGCGCGAGCACCCTGTCCAGCCGCTCCCCGAGGGAGGGAGGAAACAGAACGATGAGACGCGGCGGGGTCTGTCTCTGCTCACCGCCAGCACCTGCTGGGGGGGCTGCAGAAGCCCCGGGGCTTCCGGAGGCAGCGCGGGCGACTTACCTTCATAGGGTCGGCGAGATAGAGTTTTTCGGCCGCGCGGCTGAACTCCTCCCAGGTCTGGTACTGCGGCATCGTGGGCCCGCAGCGGAGCGCGAGAGCAGACGAGGTCCGGGACCGCAGGCGGCGCCGCCCGGCCCACCTTCCACTCACCTCCGGTACCAGCGACCGGTGCGGAGACCCAGCGGTCCAAGATGGCGGCGCCTCCTCGCACCAACGCCTCGTCCCATTGGACGGCCCGGTCCGCCGTCGCCCAATGGGAAGGAGGGATGCTACCAGGAGGGGCGGAGCCCCGAGCGTGAGCCTCTAGGAGCTCGCCGGGAGAAGCCGGGAGATGGGTGGCGGGGTGCCACAGCGCCCCCCTCAGGACTGGAGGAGCGGAACTGCGTGGTCAGGCCCAGGGTAGCGCGGGACCGCGGTGGAGCCGCTGGGTGGGAAGCGCAGGGGACCGAAGCCTGGAGACCCACGGGTCCGTGTCCGGCTGTCACGCCCGCAGCCTAGCGAGGGCGGGGGAGACATAGACGCAGCAATGCAACCGAAGTTTGTGCGACAGACATTGATGTGGGCTCGCTGGGCCCCGGAGGAAGCGCGGTGGCCTGGGGGTCGCGGGCTCCCGAGCTGAGTGTCTGGAAACGTGGCGGGTGTCCCGCGGGAGTGCGGCGGAATAGCCAAGCCCCCTTCAGATCTGGGCGCAGGGAGTGTGCAGGTGTGTGTAGAGGAGGGAAGAGAAGAGGAGCCCTGCGCCAGCGTGCAAGATGTGGACTTCGCTCTCCAGGCAGCGGGAGACACCTGCTTGAATCAAGTTTATTTGGGTATATTTTACGTACAGTAAAACGCACTGGTGTTAAACGTACACGTCCGCTGCATTTTGACCAACGTATATGTGTGTATACCCACTGGTCATATACCAATATGCCCGCTACCACAATCAGGATCCAAGACCTTTCTGCATCTCCCTAAAGTACCCTTATGCTACTTTATATTTAACCCCCCCCACGCCCACCCCTGCCTCTAGACGATCACTGATCTGCTTTCTGCCACCCTAGATGGGTTTTTCCTGTTCACTGCATTTTATAGGGCTCCAGCTTTCACCTCGTACTGGGCAAAGAGAAAAGAGCAAGCTTGGGGGAGATTGGGGAAGACAGGGCGTTCAGTTCTGGACTTGTTGAGCCTTGGGACATCCAGGGGGAGCCTGCTGGTAGCTGAGCTGGTGTCTCCAGAAACTCCAGGAGCTGTGTGAAATGACAGTCATCAGCAGACAGGACACGGCGTGAGGAAAGGAGACTGACGCAAACCTGGGAAACGGCCACATGCTCATATGGTTAGAGAGAAGGAGCAGAGCCCACAAAAGAGGCAGAGGAGAAATGGTCAGGGAGAGAAAAGGAGACCAGGGGGGGTTTCGACATGACGGAGGAGCAGGTTCTGAGGGACGGGTCTGTGATCTCAGGGGGCAGACAGGGCACAGGTACAAAGACCCAAAAGAAATCAATCCATGGTCCCCATTGGTGACCTCGGCCAGACGAGGCGCGGTCAGATTGGGATCCGGGTGCAATTGACGGAGAGAAGCAGAGGAGCCGTGAAAGTGGAGGCAGCTATCCGAGCGTAAACGGAGGAGCTCACAAAGCGGCCTGAAGACATTGGTGAAAAAGAGTGTTATTTTTATTTATTTATTTATTTTTAATTTTTAATGTTTTATTTATTTGTGAGAGAGAGAGACAGTGTGAGCAGGGGAGGGTCCGAGAGAGGGAGACACAGAATCTGAAGCAGGCTCCAGGCTCTGAGCTGTCAGCACAGAGCCTGATGCGGGGCTCGAACCCACAAACTGTGAGATCATGACCTGAGCCGAAGTCAGATGCTTAACCAACTGAGCCACCCAGGCGCCCCTATTTATTTATTTTTTTAAACGTGGGGCTCGATCCCACAAGCCTGGGATCATGACCCCAGCCAGAATCAAGAATTGGACGCTCAGCTGTCTGAGCCACCCAGGCGCTCCCGAGAGTGTTCTTTTTTAAGATGGGAAGAGTTTGTGCCTGTTTATAACTTCCAGAGAAGGCATCGTCAGAGACGCAGAGATGAAAACTACAAGAGAAAGAACAAAGCAGGATCTCAGAGAAGGGGAGTACCAAAGGTACAGACGTGTGACCAGGGCAAGGTCCCCAGTGCCTTGCAGATGTCCTGTCTTGAGACCATGCCAGCTTTGCCCTCTGTCACAATGCGGATCATAACGTCTATCAGGTGCGAGGCGGACCTCGTCCGGCCTCATGGACACCACAGCTTGGTGAAGAGGGTTATGGTGCAGCAGGGATTCCAAGGTGAGGGTGCCCATCACTCAGCCCGGCCCGGCCCCTGAAGAGAGAGAATCAGGAAGAGGAAGATACGGACTCCCGTGGCTTATCCCAGTGCTCCCCTCCCCCCACCGGCTGCACTTGGCGCATTTTCTGAACCAGGTTTTTTTCCCAGCTGTAGAGAAACGGCTCCCGAAAGGCTACCAGAGGAGTGCCCTCTGTAAAGTGCACTTCGCTTCATTGTCACGCGCACACATGTCATTTTTGTGTTAAAACAACCCCTTGAGGGTGGCCGGCCAGCCCTTATCACGACTCTGGAAATCTGAAAAGCTCAGGAAAACAAAAGTATGCTAGTAACTCCGTTGGTAGAAAACTTGACCTGACCTTTCAGAAAGTTGTTTGGAGTCCTTATTTGTGCCTCTCGGTGTGTTTGAGCACAGGGTGGAGCCCAGCCTCTGCCAGTGGTGTGAGGTGGCACATGGGGAGTACACCGTATTACCCTTGTGGATGCCGACAAGCTGTGAATTCCCAAACGCACGTGGCTGCAAGCAGTTTGGACAGAGGATTATGGGTCTGTGTAGCTCTCCTCTCTAGGTGATGAAGAAATGGAGTCTGAGAGGTGCCTGGGTGGCTCAGTCAGTTAAGTGCCCGACTTTGGCTCAGGTCATGATCTCATAGTTTGTGGGTTCAAGCCCCGTGTCAGGCTGTGCTGACAGCTCGGAGCCTGGAGCCTGTTTCAGATTCTATGTCTCCCTCTCTCTGCCCCTCCCCCACTTACACACTCTCATTCTCTCAATAAATGAATAGTCGTTAAATTTTTTTGAAAAAAAAATAGAAATAAAAATAAAATTAAAAAAATAAATAAAATTTTGGGGCATCTGGGTGGCTCAGTCAGTTAAGCACCTGACTCTTGATTTCAGCTCAGGTCATGATCTCGCGGTTTGGGAGTTAGAGCCTCATATCAGGCTCTGTGCTCACAGCGTGGAGCCTGCTTGGGATTCTCTCTCCCCTCTCTCTCCCCTCCCTCCCCCAAATAAATAAATAGGCATTGGAAAAAAAAAAAAAAGAGGAAACCAAGTCTGTGAATAGAACGGATTGGGGCAGGACTTCGCAGCCAGCCGGCAGGTAGCCATCACAACAGGAAGTGGGACGACTCCTCGTGATTTTTAGGAAACATAACTGGCGTAACTGGCGGCAATGAGAAGCTGGACGGGTAGGACAGAGCCTGGGCGCAAGGTCAAAACCTAAAGCCTTGTCCTTTGTCCTGTGTTGGTGGCCTCCTTAGTTGCTCTCCTGTGTTTGCTGTCAGCCCCGAGGGCGTGGGTGGCACAGGCGTCCCCGGGCCCAATGAATCCCGCAGACAATATTCCGCCCTTTCTTGTCTATATTATTTGGGTGCATTTGAGGCCACTGGCTACCCCATTGTCCTTAAAACTTCCCAGGCCCTTGTCCCTCCTTCTCCCCACCTGGCTTTACCTGCTCTGGCTCCTACTGCCCCCAGCTCCTTCGACAGCTGTCCCTGGGATGCCAGACCTTGGGGTCCCCCTCCGCGGTTCTTCCTGGGCGATGATGTGTCACTCTTGGGTTTCTGCTCAGTCCTGCCTTCCTCCCTGAGCCTCAGATTCTCATGTCCAAATCCCTGCCAGGCCCTGGGCTAACCTGAGTTCCATTTGGGGAGATGAAAACAACTTCTTGGCAAACCGAAGTGACTTACTTTTTTTTTTTTTTTATGTTTATTCATTTATTTTGAGAGAGACAGGGAGGGGCAGAGAGAGAATTCCGAGCAGGCTCTCCATCCAGCGCAGAGCCCTATACGGGGCTCCATCCCATGATGATGAGACTGTGATCTGAGCCAAAATCAAGAGGCCTACGCTTAACCGACCGAGCCACCCAGGTGCCCCAAACTGATGGGACTTATAAGCAACAGGTGTGATGCCTTCTTTTCCCCTTGTTTTACTATTGCCCTTGGCAAGTCATTAGCCACTCATTGCTTGACTGCCAGGAATTCACTACCGGCATCTCACAGACTTTTAGGGTCAAGTCTCTGGGCTGGTCACAGTCCTTCTAAGCGGATGAGGTCAGGGCAGAAATAATAAGGCAAATTCACGAATCCTGGAAATGGAAGACAGGAAAGGTGCCCCAGGGAAGGAGAGGTGGTCTAACCTGGAGAATCTGGCAATGCTTGTGCCCTTTCCTTTCCCTTGATCTTGCCCCAGAGGAGAAAGTTTTCATTGTTTTCAAGATGGAGAGAAATGCCCATTGGTTTTGAATTCTCCTGCTTGAAGCTTTTTGTCCCCAGATTCACTTCCGGAAGCCGTAGGCTCCACGATAATCCTAACGACAGTGCAGGGCACTGCCAGGGTGCCCGGGACTGTGTGTCATGCTTGGGGGGGGGGGGCGGGTCACGCGGGATTCATGGAACCCACCACTCGCTGTCGGTCAAAGCAGCCGCTGTTGCTCCGGTACCTTCCGGGCCATGCAGTCAGCATGACACAAATCAGGTAAGAGGATCTGATGGGGAAACCGGTTAGCCCGGTAGCTGTGTCCAGAACGGGGAAGAAAGGCGAGCCGATGCGCCCGGCGCCCAGCGGAGGGCAGTGGTGTGCAGAGTCCCAGGGAGCTATCCCCGTCCCCGGAGGAGGCCGTCCAGGGGAGCTGCACTCCCAGCTCAGCCGGGGACGCTGCTGATGCCATCGTGACGTTTTGCTCAGTCAACCCTTCCTTTCTGGAGACCGCCCCTACCCCCACAGCCCCCCCCCGCCCCAGGCTCTTATTTGATCTTCAGGAACTTTCAGCCCCGTTTAATTCCTTAATTCCTCATTGAGCACCCCTCCCGGGGCACAGCGAGAGCAAAGCTGTGTGTGGGGAGCTTACCCCCCAGTGAGCGCACAGGGCGACAAGGGTGAGGCGAGG